TGTTTACATATTATCTGGAAATATGGGCATGTAAGTCATTAAGCACGCAAATCCTAAAAGTGAAGCAAAACATCCCAAACTCAACAACAGTTCGTCCCAAGCAACGTTGGTCTATAAACATCTTGTGAACATAATATTCAACGTAGATCATCAAGTATGAAATACATAAATATGTTCAAATTTAAATCAAAAAAGGTTTGCTCCTAAACAAACAATGTTGGTCTTAACCGCTCCTTAGCTTACATGTTATCTACAACCTTAATACATGGATACATGTTCATCACAATTTAGAGCAAAGCAACTTTTCTGACAATTTTCCAAGCATTTAGTACTAATGATTATCAAGAAAAATAGGCACAAATAATAAGTCAAAATCCATTGCATAAATTGTTGATGGATAAAGTCATCCAGATATTTTGTTCAAAACATGAAGTGTACCATAAAAAGGTCACACTAAAACAAGAAAAAGCAACATAAAGTTAACCTCTAAGCGGTTCGGGGACCATCGGAAGGCGGCTCAGAGACCTTGGCAAGGACTACCTCGGGTGTCGTCTTTGCCAGCTGCTCGGAGGCCCTCTCAGCAATCAATGTGCCTAATCCTGGCTCGTCAATATTCGTGCCCGCAGGATACTCAGTCACTGATACCGAAGCCTCAACCGATTCACCACCTAAAAGTTCAGGCACTGAGTCAGATAAAACAGGTGAGAGCCTCATATCATATCACAAGTCAGTTGCGAGCCGCTCAAACTCTGCATCGATGTTGCATTCATAACTCAAGACTAGGAGGCCAACGAGATGACACAACCCACAAGGAGTAAGTTGAGCCAAGGCAAACCCATACATCCACATATATCGCATGATCAAATGTGGGATCAGAATCCACTAAAATCTCATGTAGAAGAAACTCTCATACACAGTGAAGTGATTCGGTGGAGGCTTGTCGGCTCGGTCCACTGAAGAAGGTGGTACAAATTTAACCTCTTCACTGATAATAAAACACCCCTCAAGTCCAGCATACTGTGTGCCGTTGAGAGAGTAGACTCAGGTGGGTTGGCTTTCTTCTTCTCAACGTCTTGTCGCCTCGATGAACCCTCCATTTGAGTCTTCATCAGAAGATCCAAATCTCTCCTCGCCGCTGCTGGATCAAACTCCCTATCTTCCTCCTCGCGCTTTATCTCTGACGGCTCAGTAGCTAAAGGAGTAGGATCTTCAAGGGCAAGCGTCAAACCATTCACTTCGCCATATGATGAACTACTCACCTTGCCGCCAGACAAAGAATTCACTTTGCCATCAAATGAACTAACCGCCTTGCCATAGACAAACAATTGACTTCAGCGTCAGAAACCCTGCATCGATGTTGCATTCATAACTCAAGACCAGGAGGCCAACGAGATGACACAACCCGCAAGGAGTAAGTTGAGCCAAGGCAAACACATACATCCACATATATCGCATGATCAACTCTGGGATCAGAAACCATTAAAAGCTCATGTAGAAGAAACTCTCATACACAGTGAAGTGATTCGGTGGAGGCTTGTCGGCTTGGTCTACCGAAGAAGGTAGTACAAATTTAACCTCTTCACTGATAACAAAGCACCCCTCAAGTCCAGCATACTTTGTGCCGTTGAGAGAGTAGACTCAGGTGGGTCGGCTTTCTTCTTCTTAACGTCTTGTCGCCTCGATGAACCCTCCATTTGAGTCTTCATCAAAAGTTCCAAATCTCTCCTCACCGCTGCTGGATCAAACTCCCTATCTTCCTCCTCGGGCTTTATCTCTGACGGCTCAGTAGCTAAAGGAGTAGGATCTTCAAGGGCAAGCGTCGAGCCATTCACTTCGTCATCATATGATGAACTACTCACATTGCCGCCAGACAAAGAATTCAGTTTGCCATCAAATGAACTAATCGCTTTGCCGTAGACAAACTATTCACTTCAGCATCAAAAACCCGGTCTCCGGAATAGCTTATTTCAAAAGATCCATCTGACTCGTCCTGATGAGAATGGACCAGCTTGCGACCTAGGTTTGTCGGGAATTAGTCAAACTGATAGAATCTTTTAAGTTAGTCGGCTAGGCTCGGAAAGACATTGAAGGATCCGTGAATCTTGACTTGGCAGACTATTTAAAGATGGATCAGAATGTCTGAAGGGTGATCAGAAAGTTTGAATGTGGATCTGAAAAATCAAGGAGGGGGGCAGCGAAAAGATAGAAACCGGAAGAACCCTAACCAACATTTAAACACAAACAAGAGAGAGAGAGAGAGAGAGAGAGAGAGAGGGAGGGAGGGAGGGAGGGAGGGAGGGAGGGAGGGAGGGAGAGAGAGCAAATCTTCAACTTTTTTAGAAGTAAAGATTGTGAGGAAAGGTTGGGGTGAATTCAGTATTTATAGACGAACAAACACATGAACACATCGTCTCGAGAACACGCAAAGCATTTGCGATTCCCGAGGTAAATCAACACTTTTGAGATATAGTAGGGTTTCTAGAAGATAAGCTTTGTGCCCAAACATGTAGAAGGCAAGGCCTAAACCAAGAGCCTTATGGATTAAGACATTCGAAACATTTCAAACCCACGAAGCATCACTGAAACGCTGAGGTGAGGCAGACCATATTTCTACAAAAACACACCTCATCAACAAAACAAGCAAAACAAACGCCTAATCAACAAAACAAGCAGAACAAAAGCCTCATCAACATACAAGCGCCTCGTCAACAAAGCAAAAGCCTCGTTAATGAAGCAAACATCTCGTTAGCAAAGTAATTGCCTCGAAACATTGATCTCGCCCATCTTTACCCCTCGTCATCCATACCTTTGAGTCTAACGAGCTGGGGGGGGAGGGGTAACTGATGGTTTCGATTTTCACCCTGACGAGATCAGTCAAGTAAAATGGCTAAGTATGGAAATGGACCTAGCCGAGTTTGATGAAGCGTAGAACCAAAATGACCCGGAGAGATGACGACTCAACAAACCAAGCCAAACCGGAGAGCTACGGAAGACCGAACCGGAGAGTTGCAACGAACTGAGCCAAACCGCATGAAAGGATTGAACTAAGTCGAACCAATATAATAGCTCCTCTAAAAGGCATAGGCGACAATGGGAGAAGCCCAAGATGAAACGTTTAAAAATATGGGCTGAACCGAAAGCCCATGGGAAGGTCAGAAGCAAGGTTTGCCCTAAGAAGATACAACCATGCAGAAGGAAGCACCGTCATAAGATATGCACCGTCATAACATATAGAAGGAGTATCTACGATAATCATCATAGATATTCGTGCTTAGGCGGTTGAGGAACAAGTATAAAAATATGAGACTTAGTTCATTTATAAAAGGACGACCAAAAGACCTCGCTAAACACTTGCAATACGCTTATCATTTTCTGTACCAAAAGCTTTATGAAACAGCAATAAATAAACGCCATCGTTGGATCTCTGTACTCGTGTTATAACTCAAAAACTTCAATCTTCTTTTGTTTATTCTAACAGAAATCTATTGTGTGGATTCCGCCTCACACATACACATACAACAAGAGTACTTTAGGCATGAGAGAAGTCGATTATACTCTCAGAAAAATGTATTTCTTTTCTTTCTTTCATCTCTTATCTTTTTCCTCTCTCTGTCCTCAAATGAGTTAAACAATTATATCGATTTATTGGATAAGAAACAAATTAAAAATCATGAACTCTAAAAGATACTTTATCTCTGCATCTTTTATGAGTAGAGAGATTCGAACATCTATCAACAGATTGGAACAGTTATCGATGGACGGATGTTTATGCTGAAAAGATTCAGAAATGTATGATAAATGATCTAATGAAACAATGTTAGAAAATGTGTTCGTACTTGAGATTTATGGTTTTGTGGACTCGCCATCATAGAAAAAATCTGATCATTTAACAAACAAAAAAAAATCCATAAAATTTGGGCATTATACTGTGGATGCTTTTATTTAAAAATATTGTACGTAAAGTATTTATGGACAAAGTAACATAGTACGATGTAGCATGGATAGTATATCATGGATACAATCAATTAATATGATAAAAATTAAGATTCTGGATGTACTAATCATATATATGTGGATTTGTTTCAACTTTATAAATTTGTAACAATATTGGTATTTTCACACATTTGTTCATGTAACAAATATGATAAGTGATCTAACTAAAAGTATAACAAAGAAAATTTATTAAAGGTAAATAAGTAAAGCTACTTACTTACAATACATAAAAAAAAAAGTTCCAGAAAAAAATGAACTCAATATGACTTTTTATGTCTCGAAGAATTGATGTCTCATCTCTGAGAATTGACAACTGCTATTTTAATATATAAAATTGTAGTCTGTAGAGAGAGAGAAAAACACCTAATAGTCAGAATTTAAATCTTTAAAAACCGATTGAACCCTATTTCTACCAAGAATCGAATCAATTGTGAAATGAACTGAATTCAATCCAAATTCAGCAGATTTTTGTGTGTGAAACACTAGTTAAAAGGAATGAAATTCAGCTGACAGGAAGGAAATTCGGTTAAACAGTAATAGAGAAAATAATAAAAGACAAAAAATAATAATAATTGTTTTCAGATATTTGTTTATTTGCTTTTTTCAAATAATTTATTGATTAGTTTTCATATTGTGTAAATGGTTTATTTATTGTGTGTTTGAATGTTGTAGCAAAAGTAAAATTTAGTTACATGTAATTATATCATTGATAAAATTATTAATTGTATTTAGATAATTGTGATTAAATTTATTATAACATAATCTATTATATAAAAATTCAATGTGTCTTACAAGTGATTGACACCTCATCATCCCTCTTTCTAACACATCAGCATAAAACTTAATAAAAAAAAAAATTAAACAAGTTTTATTAGTGGTGAATTCAATTTGGTCAAACCAAAAAGATAATTTTTCCCAAGCGTTTTTCCTACAATATTTAATCACTTTTATATTTCCAATGAAAAAATTGTTTAAATGTATGAAAGGGCCGGAAGCTTTGTCAATCTATGTGTCACTCTTTAGCAATTTTGTTGTTTCAGTAATCCATTCATATCTCAATTCTCTTTTTATTGATTCCAAGCTTCTCTCGCCTGTTTTCCTCAAAGGTACGTTTTCGTTCTGCTTCTCTTCGTTTCCGAAGAATCAATTCTAGATTAGGGTTAGGTGTTTTAGTTTCCATCGCTTCCGATTTTGATCGGATTTTTTTTTTCCAGTCGCTTGCTCTATGCTCAAAGTTGTTTGTTTCTATTGAGTTTTGATTTCTATGGGGATTTCTCACGTTTTCTGCATGTTCTTCCATCACTTTATACTTCACAAGGGAGGTAGTGAAGCATTGGTTGCTAACGAGAACAGCGATAAAAGCATCAGCCCCGATTTAGCATCGTCGCCGAGTAAGAGACACCGTATCGATATCACTGATTCTACTGCGTCCGATAAGTCCTCTATTGTAGCTTCTGGTAGCAGCAGCAGCGGATAGCTTCGTCCAGCAGCACGAGATGGCTATTGCTAATTCCAACCGTTAGGAGATCGATGAAGATCTACACAGCAGGCAGCTTCATGTACGGACGTGAGATGATGAGGCGTCTCTTTGCTTCTAACGTGCTCATCTTTGGGATGAACGGCCTTGGAGCCGAGATTGGTATGCGTTTCTCGATGATGGTCTTCTTCGTTCTTTTGCTGTGAAGAATTGTTACTTCATCAAACGAGGCTATTCGACTTTGCTTTGTGGTTGCTAAGTTTTTGTTATCCTGATCTGTGATTCTTTTCTTCGACATCCTAATCTTAGTAGCTTTTGATGTTTCTTGATTTGCTTGAGGTTTCTAGACTTACCGACGGTCCCAAAACCGAACTCGATTTCTGGAAAACTCTGACGGTACGGAAATTTTAGCTTTCATTAGTTCTGTTGCTTAGTGTTTGATCTTGGGCTTAGGGGAGTCAAATGAAACTGTAAAAGTCTGGAATTTTCGAAGCTGAATTCTGCAGAAATTCCTTCTATATTTAAGTGTGTAAGTACTGATGTAACCGTGTGATGATTGATGGTTTTAATTGTTTCAGGTGGCGGGGGCTCATACGATCGGGCATGTGGCAGCGACAGTGAGCATGTCCAAAGTGGCAGTGTCCTTCACACACATCATCAAAAGTGGTGAACCAGCCTTCAGCATCCTCGTCTCAAGTTTCTTCTTAGGCGACACATTCCCTCTGCCTGTTTACCTTTCTCTCTTGCCAATCATCGGAGGCTGTGCTCTCGCTGCAGTCACCGAGCTCAACTTCAATATGATCGGTATTTTAAAAAAAAACATCAATTAATTGCCTTAAAAACGCTGTTGTAGTTCAGTAAGGTGTTCGATCTTATGCAAAATGTAAATTAAAAGGGTGTTTCTTAGTTTCGTTTTTCAGGGTTTATGGGGGCAATGATATCGAATTTGGCGTTTGTGTTCCGGAACATATTCTATAAAAAGGGGATGTAGAGGAAGTCAGTGAGTGGGATGAATTATTACGCTTGCTTATCAGTGAGCTTGAACTAAAGTCTCATCGATTCTTCTGAATGCTTTTGGTTGATGGTATGCATTTCTTGGTTTTTGAATCTCTGAACAGGCAAAGCAGTGAGGAGATGCGGTTTTCACAGGGGAGTTCGATGCACCGAAATTACTGAGAGCAGAGGACACGATAAAAAGAACATTCCTGTGAAGATCTCATGAGGGATATGTAAGCGTTGGATCTGAGCAAATGGAGTTGGAAGTCAACGGCTTAAGATCTTGGCATACTACTACGATATGTATAAAATAGTTTTTTTTACCTTCTTGCTGTAGGATCCAAAGTTTAACTAATTGAATAATCTAGCTAAAAGCTTAGACAAGATCACTAGATATATTATATTTTCTGGTTGTTAATTTGTAACTTGAAGTCTACTTTGAAATAAACGTAGGTAATTTTTACAATTCTTTAGCAAAATAGGAAAACGAAAATTGGGAAATGGGGTTTGCTTTCAAGAGTTGATGTTTGGTAGAGTGGATGTTTGGTAGATTTTGAAGAAGTAATATTCATTCTTCTCAATAATACTTATGGTTAGGTTTCGTATTCTGGTTTAGCTATTACATTTTTAATGAGTAAATAAAGATGATCTGAAATAAGACTATATTTTGTCAAAAAGATAGTTACTCCATAGTTAGAAGTTTTGTCATTTTGATAAAAATAAGATTCAATAGAGAAAATAGATGCAATCGGTAAGAAACATTAAAAAAAAAAAAAAATCTGCGTATTTGCGCAGATAATCACTTAGATTTGAGATGATTGTGGACTACTTTATATGTGTTCATTTAAGAAAGTGAGTGACTCCAAAATAGAAAAACGATTATTTTTTTGTTGCTTTGTTGAATTCTGTGTAGATGTTGATGTTTCTGTATCTTCCAGCCAATAATATTTGTAAACAAAATTATCAAATAAAATATGTACTCTGTTGAAATTTTTTTAAAGTATTTCATTAATTTGTTTTATTTTTTTTTATTTTTGCCCATTTAATATTAAATAGAAACACAACCAAAAAGGTTCGAACAATCTAAAAAAAAGGAAATGGAAACGTTCTTTTTCAGAAATATTGGTTTTATGTACTTCGAAATCATTGTGGATGAACTATGGTATTGATTCGTCTTAATCCATCTTATAACAATATATTCTCTGTACACGAGCTAAACAACTTCCAGTGTTTCCTAATTATCGGAAAAAAACAACCGATTAGCATAACCGGATCTGATTCGGATAACCAGAGCTGGAAAAATCAAAAGAAAACACGAGAACAAACCTGTAGCAGAAGAGAGAGATCCACACGTCGCCTATGAGCAAGAGACATTGTAGTAAGAAGAAAAGGAAGAAGGGTTAAAGATGGGTTCCTTTTAAGAATAGCAGGTTCGAACACATGGCTCGAAGAACTTGAAGCTATATATTTTATTTTTACTATTAATTTTTATATTTATAAATTATAATTATAAATTTATACAAAAGCAATCCGTGTGAGGTCAGTAAACCCTGATTTGTGTCAAGATAGTAATTTTTTTTGCTTAATTTATAACAAAATATATTTTATAGAATTATATGTGAAAAATACGATTACAAAAAATTTGCACTTCAAATTAGAAATCATTGGACTGTAGAACCAAACTTCGAAACCAATGAAAGAGATGTTAGATTATGAAAATAAGATGTTGGATTTTCTATATTTCTTATATTAGTTTTAGTCTATATGTTAACGAATCACTATTATTGCTACATATTGGTCACATGTGTTTTAACATTAGAGTTTTTATTTCTTTACATATTTCTAAACTATTGAGTTTTAGATGACATCAAACAAATTTTATCTTTTTTTTTAGTAATTATTTAGGATTATAATCGATTATCAATTTATCTTGCAAGTTATAGATATTTTATTACTTTTGTAAACTTAAGTGATTTGTTTTTAATATAAAATTATGAAAAAAAAAACTGTCTTCTTTTTTATAAGTTGAAAAAAAAAAAATTTATAGAAAATTTTAATATGGAAAAAAATGAAAGGATGTATATATTATCTTTAACAATGTTTATATATTTATCTTGTTAATAAATTTAAAATTATTCTATCAATATATATTTAAAATAAAATAATATATTAATTTTTTTAAAAAATATAATAAAATGTAATCCTATCTGTAGATGCAGGTCATCACCTAGTCTATTATATAAAAAGTTTACTGCTGACTCACAAGGAGATGACACCTCACTCCCTTAATTTTTTTTTTTACAAATTTTGAACTTTTTCAACTCATTCGTCTCCTCTTGTTTGACTCTTGGATATCGAAATCAGTCAATGAATATCTACACCAATTCCAATAAGCCATCGAATGTATTTATATGATGGTTTTCTGTGTGGAATAATAGAATGATTTATGCGACGATAGGAAAGTTTGTCGATTCTGTCTCTGGCTTCTTTTTAAGTTTGTCGATCAGTGAGCTCGTTTTTCTTTTTCTGGTTTTTAAGGTTGAACCGGATTGGAGACAGACTCAGACACTAAAAACGGCTAGAGGATCGTATTGTGAAAGGTAAACCACATGGTATTTGTACTTGCGGCATTTCTCTTATTCATCTTTTTACTATCTCTTAATTCTATTTCAATTTTTGTAAAGCAATTGGCGTTGGAATTGCTGTTACTGCTGTTGGGATCGTTGCTGGTATTGATCGATGATTATTGCTGTTAAAGGAGCCTGAATCGTAGGATGAGCTCCAGAGAAGAATCCATAAATTGGATTTGTTGGAAGAGAATTTCAGCAGAGGAAGAGGTCTTTTCTGCAGATCCTGTTTGAAATATTGGATCGCTTCTCCTAATTTCTCTGATTTCATCGCTGCTTTGATCGCCGTCGTCAACTCCACATTCCCTTTGATCGGCGGTCTCTTGCTGAAAATAGTGGTTATGGTGTGGAGCGAACCAAAATAAATCTTGATTTTCCAGGTTGCTCTATATATTGGCGGTCTTCTTTGCAATCAATGATCTAAATAGCTTTTGATTTGCATCAATTTTTTTTTTGAGTTGTGACTCTTGAGTTTAATTTCCAGATTAGATGGGAATCTGCATTGAAGATGGGAATAGATACACGAGAACTGTTCTTCTATGAGACATGTCTGTATTATAATCCTCACCTTCTCTAATTAATCAAAATTTACGTGTGTTCCCTCTAAATATATGCTAATTACTTTCAGACAATGATGGTTTGGCTCTGGGGTGTTAATTTGTGTGTTTCTTTTTCTCGGAAACCTCTGAGGAAAAGGTAGCATCTATTTTTCCTTCTTGCATCATGTACATGTCAATTCCTCTCTTTTCGGTTGGCTAAATCTCATGAATGTATGCAGCGCCTTTTGTTGCCTGGTCAACCAGTCTTTCGAACTTTATGGTTAAGTTGATGTGGGTTGTTTTATGCTATGACAGGATCTGACAGATAAACACAAGTTAGTCTTTGTTTATGGTTCTTGATAGATGTAATTTCTGTCTGTTTGATGCAGATTATGTGTTTATCACCTGATACATTATGTGTTTTATTTTTGGGGAATTTTGTTCAATTGAAGAAGATAACACTGTTTTAATGATAAACGAAGCAATTATTGATGGTATTATGATTGTTCTTCAACCCATTCATGTCAAATGGATCAATTTAAGAAGATACGCACTTATATATATATTATGTTGCTACAGCTGGGGATTGGCTTCCTGTCCTTATGTGTATTACCTTTACACCTTATGATTTCGGAAACGGGGATATTGGTCAGCTATTCATTGCTGGTTTCGGCTCCTCCATGTTGTTTGAAACCATTGTTGGATCCCTGACTGACAACAGTGAGAGTTTCTTCATTTCAAGTTCAAGTCCGTGTTATTAGAGGAGAAGCTAAGCTGAGATGGATATGAAGATTTAAAGAATTTATAAACATGGATATATTCTACTATTAAATTTATAACATTTTGTTGATGAAGTTTTTTTCACTATCTGTAACAAATTCTGAGATATGAGAAACGTGGAAGAACATCATAAGGCACGTTTAGAAGTAGTAACAACACAGATACTCGAAAGAGAAACGCAAGAGGCTGTTTTATCTTTCATCATTTCGTTTAAGTTAGAAGTGATAGGCTTAGTGTTTTAGTCTTTTGGAAGTCTATGGATCGCAAGAAAGAACATATACATGGACAATCCAAATTTAATAATACACTAGGATTTAGCCCGCAATATGTGCGGGGTAAATGTTTTTTTAATTTATTAAATTTTAGTTTTATTTAAAAGTTTAGTTTTTCTTCACTATATTATTAATATATTGCTTTTAATTGTTTGTTGGAATGAGAATGTTGTATTATTTGTGAATGGTATTTTGGTTTCGTTTGTGTATGATATTTGTATGAAGTTAATAATTTTGTATTTATAATTATCGTATCGTTTGTCAATTATATTTGGTTATAGTTGAGGATTTGATTTAAAATTAGATAGATTTATAAAATAAAATAAAAACAAATATTGATTATTTGATTATATAAAACAAAATATGAAATTCAAATTAGCGTTAGTTGTTGTTAAAAAATAAGAAATTATATAATAAATTTAAATAATTCAACAAATATAGTTGATGGATGTAAATGATTTGTATAATATATCTACGCGACCCGGAAATCCTGATATATTTTAGTTACAGGTTTATGAATAGAGGTTAAAAATTTATTTTACCAAACATTTATTTCATCAAAATTGTCCCATTACATTCTATTTATGATCTCAAATTTCGAGTTCCTATAAAAATAAACTTTTGTATGAGATGTTTATTTTGCTATAGATGTATTGTATTTTTGTTAATAATATAGAAACCATTAAGTTTTATTTTTGGTATACATATATTACTAAATTTTAAACTACTATGAAAATGGATTACTATTTTTTTATTTTATTTTTATTTTTATATTATTGATTTAACTCAAAAATCCTGCTATATTTGAGTTAGTTAGGCTAATGAACATAATTATTTTTATAAAAAAATTTCATCTCGTCAATTTCTGATCTCAAATTTTGATTTTATAATGTATCTATGCAACCCATAAATTTGGATATATTTTAGTTATATGTTTATGAATAAATGTTAAGTATTTTGTTTTTCTAAACTTTTATTCTTTTCAAAATTATCTAATTACATTCTACTTATGATCTCAAATTAGAAATTTTTATTCTTTTCAAAATTATCTAATTACATTCTACTTATGATCTCAAATTAGAAGTTATATAAGATATTTAAAAATATTATATGAATATAGAAGATAATTATACATAATTTGTATGATATTCAAATTTTGAGTTATATATTTATGAACAAAGTTATGTATTTTCTTAAACAAAATTTTATTTCGTCAAAATCGTATAATTACGTTTTATTTATGATCCTAAATTTTGAATTTTTATAGAAATATATTTATGTATATAGATATATTATACTTATGTTTATAATATATAAACCCAATAAGTTTTAATATTAGTATATATGTATATGATACATTTTACTAGATTTTAATCTATCATGAAAATGTGTTACTATTTTCATATGTTTTTGTTTTTATTTTATCAATACAATCCGAAAATATTGCTTTATTTGAGTTAGTTGAGTTTAGAAAATGAGTTATATGTATGTTTTTACCAATTTCTTTATCCATCAATATACATAATATTGTAGAAATTAAATTTGTATTATGAGTAAGATTATGATTTTTTTTTATTTGAAAATTATATCATAATTTTAGTTATTACCATGCTATATATAATCTTTAATAAAAGTGATATCAAGTTGAATTGGAGAAACCTTGAGAGTGATATTATTGCGAGTCAATCCAAAATTTTTAAAAATGAGAAACCATGCACAATGACACAATGAAACGTAGATGTTTTAATTTTTTGAGAAAACAGTTACATAAGATCTAGACAAATATCTCTATAATATTATTTGAGAAGCCGTTTTTTAAAACAATCGAAAAACTGAATGTATTTACGATAAATGCCACTGCGATTTATAACAAATAGTGTTTGGCAACAGATTTCTTTAGGGATAAATTTGGCGAGTTCAGTGAGTTGACTCGCCTTCCTTAACTCGAGTGTGTCCAACCAAGAAATCCGACCCAATAGTCCATTTGAAATAACGCGGATCCTGAAATACTTAAATCAAACCGGATTAATCAAAATTTAGGGAGCACCGGTTTCTGAAAATTCGAACAAAATCAAAAATCATAACGTATCAGAATATCTTTCACTAAAAATATGGCAACTGACATAATATATTGAATCCGTGAGTTCTAATAAATCCTAAATTCTCGCTAACTATCTAAGATTAACTCATAATTTAATGTCTGTTTGTCATAAATCAAAGATATTCACAAATCTCAATATATCACATAATTTCGGCAACTGCTACACGTTTACATGGAATCTATAATATCACAATATCCTACATTCCCGAAAACCTACCTAACATTCAAATTCATAATTAAAAGATCTAAACAACCTCTACATTATCTCACTCACAACCTCTATATAGGCAGAGAATTAATAATAAGATCTTCAAATAATATTTAACCTACGATGCACTATATAAATAGTCTACCAAGACTGCTCACATTCATACCTCGACACAAAATCAAAAGAAAATGGCGAATGCACTTGCTATCACTCCATTGAAGAACCTCAAACCTTTCAAAACTACATGGACAGTTCAAGTGAAGAACCTGCACACATACAATATGCTTATTCATTTGGAGAAAAGTTGAAATGGTTTTAGCCGACAAGAGGTAAATATATATTTATTACTCCAAGTGTCTTCTCAACAATAATGGCATAAATTCTCAAACTATTTAACACTTACATGTTTTATCCTTAGGTACAACGATTTGTTATTGGTAAACTTTAAGTCGATTACATGGAGAAATCAATTAAGAAGATGCATGCTTTGATACTTAAAAAGTTTATTTCAACGAGGTGTCTCATAAAAACTTTCACCTCAAACAAAGTCATCTAAACCTATATCTTACAGCTTTTACAAAGTAGTTATTTCATATATAATCACATACCTTAAAGATGTGAAACATTTTAAAATAGGTTGGTGAATGCAATTGACAAACAAGTTCCTCCGGAAATAGTTTATGCTCTACTCATCCGCTGCTATTAGCAAGAAATAACCAAGAAGAAAGGAAAGAGAAACACGTTTAGTTCAAAAATGATTTCATATTTTTATGTTTATAGTTACATGATTTATTATGCGTTTTATATATAACCATATAAACAAATGCAGGTCCAACAAAGAGTTTAGAAAGTGCATTAGATCATTAGTGAATCATCTTGGATTTTGATTGTATAAGTTTCAGAACCTTTAGTTTAGAATATCTTATATTTTCTTTATCGTTGATCTCTAAACATAATTTCAACTTTATGTTTGTGTAGTGACATGATCAAACATGATTTCATGTAATAAACCTTAAGTGAAAACAAGATCAAACAATACTTCCATTCTTAACTTTAAAGGACTTTCTATATACCATCTGTCAAGTTTTTAAATTCTGCAGTAAAGATGGGAAAGCCTAATCAAAAACACTCTATATGTTGTTTTGAGAAACAAGACTTTGTGTTTTTGATTGATATCAGATAAATTAGTCAGATGGAAAAAGTGAGAAATAGTGGAGAATGAGAGAGAGAGAGATCCAACCAGAGACACCGAAATCATACCCGAAGAGAGATCCTCCCATGGATACAAAGATGCTCGCTGAGTTCCTTTCGCTTGACACCCAAATGCAACACATAGAGCAGTCAATACTGCCACCTGATTTGTTCACCCACACAACAAATTAGCTTTCAAGCTTTCCGGGAAGATCACAGAGCAATAAAGTGGTAACCGTTAACACAAACTATCCGACGAAAATAAATCCAAATTGTCGTTTAACATTCCATGAAGCGACATCTTTCAGAAAAATCGATCAGAAGTTCGAATTAAATTCATAAGCATGACTCTGGCTCCCTCTAAGTCTAAGATAAACCAATTATAAATCAAAGGACAGATTTAAGCCTGAATTGTGTTAATACAAAGAACAAATTTAAAAGATGAGATTTTCAAATTCGGCGAAACCCTATTAGAAAGCTAAAGATCAATTTTTTTAATAAAAAAAGGGGAAGAAACACTTACTTCCGTTTGTCCGGTGATGAAATTGACACACTCGCCAAACTCAATCTGGAGATTACTGTGGCACATGAAATTCTCAAAGCTTAATCCTAAGGATCGTTCCCGACCCAGAACGCTGTTTCATGAATAAGCAAAGAAAGGCGACATTGGTCTTTCCCTACTCCTCTTAGCAAGGCATGCAAGTTTTGATACAGCATCTCAGATCAAATCAACAAGTGGATATGGAATCAGTAAAACCTGATCAGAGGAGAGGGAGAAAGATGCAGAGAAGAGATGGAGATCGGAGGAGCAAAAAGATCCCCTCTTTTATATCGGGAGACAGTTGAGAAATGGGAGAGGAAAAAAATATAGTGGGAAACATCGAAGAGACGGAAAAAAAATTGGTTTGGAAATTTGCGATTTGAAGAATGAGGAGAAAGGAAGCTTTGAGGAAGAGGGATCGGAGTGGCGATTTACCGCAACTAAGTATGGCGGAGAGCTCTAGGGAAAGAGAAGAAGCCGACACACAATTTTGGGCTTATTGATCAACAACGGGCAAGGCCCAAAGCTAAACTATACTATTAATTTAAAACCATGTAAATAATAATTTTTTAATTTATAAATTTTCTATATATTATTTTACAAACTTTTATTGGTGGAATTTGTTTTACATTTTTTTTTAAAAAGTATAGTGTTCAAGATAAATCATGTTAATCACAAAAAATCCAAATTTATAAAAAATTAAAATTAGATAAATTTTGGTAAAATATAATATGCCTATATGATTTAAGGGTTTCTATATTGTTAGCAAAATACAATATATCTACTGCAAAATAAACATCTCATACAAAAAGTTATTTTTATAGGAAATCAAAATTTCAGATCAAAAGTAAAATGTAATGGGACGATTTTCACGAGATAAGAGTTTGGTAAAACAAAATACTTAACCTCTATTAATAAACATATAACTAAAATATAAGGATTTCCGGGTTGTGTATATACATTATAAAAATTATTTACATCTATAAACTATATTGGTTGAATTTTTTAATCTTCTTACATAATTTCTTATTTTCTAACTTAAAACAAATATCACACACAAACGAAACCAAAATAAACAATTAAACCATACAACTAACATATTCAACCAATATATTAATAATTTAGAAAAGAAAAATTAAACTTTTAATAAAACTTAAATTTAATAAATTAAAAAAATTACCAAACACGTACAACGGATTAAATCATACATAACTCCGTCTTAAATTAAAGATAACCCATAATACATAAAAAATTTATAAAATCTTTGAAAAACTAATTTAAATGAAACATGAAACCCACACTCATGTGTATTTTCCGGGTTGTATAGATATATTATACAAATTATTTATGGTTATAGAATGATTTTAAATTTCTAAAAATTTCGAACCGATATGAGATAAATTAGAATAAGTTATATTTAATGAGTATAAAATATAGAATTAAAAATAAATAAGTTAAGATTTAGTAAAATATATAATACATGTATAGAAAAATTAAAATTTAATGGGTTTGTATAATATAAATAAAAAATATAATAAATCTATACCAAAATAATACATCACATACAAAAAAAGTATTTCTCTTGCAAATCAAAATTGACTATCAAAATAGAATGTAAGAGGATGATACTAGATGAAATTTTGATTAAAAAATATATAACTCTATTCATAAACCTAAATAACTTAAATGTAGCTGTATTTATGGGTTGTATGGACACATTATACAAAACAAATATATTGTAAATCTCATATATAAATGTATTTTTATTTGAAATCAAAATTAGATCAGAAATAGAACGTAATGGGATGGATTTGACGAGATAAAATTTTTGATAAAAAATAATTATGTTCATTAACCTAACTAACTCAAATATAAAAAGATTTTCGGGTTGAATCAATAACATATAAATGAAAACAAATTAAAAAATAATAACACATTTTCCTGGTAAGTTAAAATTTAGTAATGTATGTAATACATGTATACCCAAAAAAATCTTAATGGTTTCTATATTATTAATAGAAACACAATACATCCATAGCAAAATAAACATCTCATACAAATATTAATTTCTATAGGAAATCAAATTTTAAGAACAGAAGTAGAACGTAATGGGACAATTTTGACGAGATAGAAGTTTGGTAAAAAAAGTAGTTAACCTCTATTTATAAACATATGACTAAAATATATCGGGATTTCCGGATTGCATAGATGCATTATACAAATCATTTATATCCATCAACTATATTTGTTGAATTTCTTAAATTACTAAATTTTTCTTATTTTTCAACAACAACTAACAATAATTGAATTTCATATTTTGTTTTATATAATCAAACTATCAATATTTGTTTTTCTTAGAAATTATAAATCTATTCAATTTTAAAGCAAAATTCTCAACTATAACAAAATATAATCAACAAATAATACAATAATTATAAATACAAAACTACTAACTTAAAACAAATATCACACACAAACAAAACTAAAATACCATTCACAAATAATACAATGTTTTCATTCCAACAAATAATTACACCATACAACAAACATACGCAACCAATATATTAATAATATAGAAAATAAAAACTAAACTTTAAAATAAAACTTAAATTTAATTAATTAAAAACAAAATTACCATGCACGTAGAGCGGGATAAATCCTAGTATAAAAACAATTAAGAAGTATGCAACATCAGCGGGTCTCAATGTGAATCTGTCTCAATTTTAAGGAGACGATCAATAACTATCGGAACTTGGGGGTGTTTGTGTTCGTTCAAACGGAAGAAAAGATAAAACTTTTAAAAGTTAAAAGAAAGAAAAAATAGATTATGACTTAAGTTTGTAAATTAATAATACATATATACATAATAATATGAAAAGTAGTCATAAAAAATCCAGTGATATTTTAGAGCATTTTGATATTTTATAAAACATAATTTATATTTTTTTTATCAAAATTTTTAATTTTATATAAGAGAATGATAAAATAATTGAGTTTATCAAAACTTAAAAAATCATATTTTAGAGCATTTTGATATTTTTTAAAACATACTTTATATCTTTTTATCAAAACTTTTAATTTTATATAAGAGAATGATAAAATAATTTAGTTTACTAACTCACTGATTTAAAAAAATTACAAAAATATATTTTTGAGAAGAAATTCCGCGTGTATACATATATAGTTAAACAAAAGGACGTATTATTATTATTAACAATGTTTATATATTTATATAGTTAATAAATTTAAAATTATTCAATCAATATATATTTAAAATAAGATGATATATTAAAAAAATTTAGAAAATATAATAAAATGTAATCCTGCGTGTACACGCGGATCATCACCTAGTACATATAATAAAAGAGGAATGGTAGAAATTGGAATGAGCGGAAAAAAGACAGTATTGAATTTATTTTGTTGTTATCAAATATTAGTTTAATATATATTTTTACTATCCAAATGGGTAAAATTCAAATTCATGATAATGTATTTGTTTTTTTTTAATGTTATACACATAAAAGATGATATTAGTTATATTACTAATTGTTTCAAGAAAAATATTTATTAATCTGTTTAATTTAAAAAATATATATAATGTCTTTAATTTTTTTATATAATATTAGTTAATTGATTACACATAATTAATTGATTTCTCTTATACCATTTAGATATTTTTTAGAAATTTTGTCAAATTATAATTGAAAATTTTATTTTCTTGGGTATTTCAATTATTTTATCAAATTTTGTCAAACTAAATTACTTTGACAAAAAATCTATTTTTAAATATTTTATTATTTCGATCTAAATATATCTAATATATTCTATGTATAATTATAACTAACATGTTTAGGTATATGATTTTATTTCAGATATTTTAGGTATATATTCGATTTTTGTTTCGATTCTTTTTTTTTGTCAACTGGTTTGGTTTTTATTATATTGATTTTAATTTTTATATTGTTTAGTATATTAATAATAAATTAAAATAATTTTTTATTTATTTAGTTAATTTATATTTCTTAATTATTTTAAAATATATATTTTTAGTTAATTCTTGATTACTGTTTATATTATTAGTTATTTCTGTTAGATTCAATTAAAAATTACATAATAAAATTCACAGATTCCGCTGTTACTAACAAAAAAAAAAAAACAAGAACAACATTATCTAAAGAATATAATGGAAAACATAAAAACAACACCAAAACGACATCAGAGGCCATGCATCACAGCTGCATCCATCAAACATTTTCTCTATTGTAATCATTAACCATCTTTTTCCTAGTTATGTTACCAAAAAAAAGCTAGGTAGATGCTATCAACCTTTTGTCTAGCCCAAATCTGTAGCCAATTAAGCATGAGTTAAATGTGGATTTCCAACATGATTAAACAGTAGCAGAAAAAAGATGAAGAGGCTAGCTACGTGCTATAAACGTTTTCTCTGGTCTAAATCAGTTGTTGAACGTGACTAACTAACTTAGAAAATTTAGCACGACAATCAAAACATGAAATGTGGATATCAAACATATACATCACTTCCCTATGCCCGTCACTTGTATATGTTCGCTTACAGATTTAAACTCTCTAAATCCTCCAAGGTTTTGTGAAGCCACATATATAATATATTGTATAATCGATCATGACATGTTCATTTTTTATGCTTGTAGGTTTTTCATAAAAACTACTATATGATGTTCATATATATGTTGTAGTAACCGGAGATTTGCACTTGATACTATTTTTATTACGTTCCACACTTCTTCTTGACAAAAATAAAGTTTTTTTAGTAAATGAAAATTGATGCACAAAAAAGGGTTTCTGTGTGTAAATAGTTGTTATGAATTCATGAAAGAACTTTAGATGAACTTTCAAAGCGTAAGAACAGAGAGAAAAAACAGTTGAGGCAAATACTTTTTGGAAATATTTTTTGAAGTAGTCAGTTCTGCAATTTTCACTCTAACAAAATTTTTTTCTCTAATTTTAATATTAACAGAGGATCTCTCTCTGGAGAAAAATGTAAGACGGAGTCCAAATTATACAGGTAAATATTGTTAAACCGATCATTTTTAAAATAATAACGAAAATATTATTTATTTATCAATTATTCCAAATAAATTAGTGCAAATTTATATTAGAACTGCTAAACTAAATGACATATTTTTAAATATATTTA